AATTTGTACAGTTAAATCTTTTAACTTTTCACTCTCTAAACACCATTGTTTTGTGTAATTCCCAGAAATTGCCTACATAAGGAAAGTAACAACTAAAGTGGATGTGTTCAGCTTTGGCATCATAATAATGGAGTTTCTAACAAGAAGAAGGCCAACAGGACTCTTAGAAGAAGACGGCGTGCCAATCAGTCTGCGCGAAATAGCGGCAAAAGCCCTTGCAGGTGGAATGGAACAACTTGTTAAAATTTTGGACCCGATGTTGACGTGGAACGTAACGGAAGACGACATGGACATATTCACAGAGCTATTTAGGATATCCTTGTGTTGTACCTTCCCTAATCCTGAAGATAGACCTAATATGCATGATGTGTTATCTACCCTTATGAAGCTTAAAGCAGCAGCAGCAGAAGGATAGGACTAATATCTTGCTAGTGATGAAATACAAGGGAAATCTTGTCCTATGAAGCTCATGTTTATGTACAATATTGAGGCAGTAACTGAGTCTGAAATTTCAAGTTTCAGTATTCCTTCCCAATCATGTAATGTACCCTTTAGCCTCCCTTCATGCATACTCTTTCCTTTTCTCTTCCCTACTCATAATATTCATTAACATAATTGCATGGTGGAAACCATGAAATTTATAAGAAAAAAGGTAAACCATCAAAATTATGAGTTGAAATATATATAGTTTTATACTGCACTGAATCTTCAGCCTCAACTATCCATCAAACATAACTAGGAGGAGCTAAATGGCTTCGTACATGTAATTTACTAGCAGCATATATGTTTAATTTGACGTGGAAATCGTGGGTTCAAATTCTGGAAATATTATATTCCCTTACGAGGGTAACATTGTATACATCTATGATCTATCATCACCAGATCATACAACGTAGGAGTTTCGTGCACTAGATCGCCCTATATATGTTTAATTGTTTATATACGAAAGAGGCCTCATGGCCTGCTAAATGGTGAATACAAACTTTGGTACAATTTTACACTAAATAAGGACTAATCCTCACTTTCTGGGTCAATATATGGTAAATACAGAACTTACTGTCATTAGTCATATATAATTCTGATTAAGTATGAGGGAACCATTTAAGAAATAAAGTTCACATAGCATCTATGTTCTTCCTGCAAGGGACACAAAACTATGAGCTTTTTGAATGGGGACCAAAATCTTCCACAGAACCCAAGATGTAATGGCGAAGAAGTGATTGCAGCCAAAGTAATAGCTTGTTTCAGTACCAAAAAATGTAGCAAGTTGATTGCTTTTTCTTGAAGTAAATATCAAATGGTTTTTAAATTTTACTATATCAATCAATTTATCCTCAGAAATATAGTTAGATAATCAATTTATAAATATATGAAGTTTCAGGGTTTGATTTTGATTTTTTTCAAATGCTAAATCATAGATAACATATTGTTTGATCTAGTTTGCCAAATAAGTGACAAGTTATGTTAAATTAAAGTTACTAGGTTAACTTGCTTGATTCATTTAAGCAATAATAGGTTCGTAAAGAATTAATCTCTTTCAAAATATTATTCTCTTAATAAATGTCGTGATTAAGAGATTTTCTTAGTAATACCAATAAAGTAAACTATGTGTATAAATATTTATAAACAATAAATTATTTATAAATATATTTTATTAATACATACAACTTTCTCATCTCATATTTGAAAAACATAATTATTAAATTATAGTTTTAGGAATATTGTATGTAAGAATGAGAAATATATTAAAAGAAAATCAAAAGTATATTAATTCACGTGAGTATTGGAACTTATCATATATAACGATAAAGTATTCGAGCTTCACATAAATTTAGCATTGATATCAAATTCTTTATTAAAAAAACAAGAAAATTATGAGATCGATGAGGAAGTAACATCAAATACGAAAATGTCATCGGAAGGCACATGCTCGCGGCTGCAACGTGCGCTAGAGGAGTGCCACCGTCGGATCCCACAAGGTCCGGGTCGTGACTCAGCGTGCCGCCACCTAAACCGCGCCTTAGCCAATTGCCTTGTTTCAATAGCCTGTCCTCATGAATTTGAAGCGGTTCGCACCCTTTGTTCCAGCGCCGGCACCGCTCTTAAGCGCCACCAATGCCAACAGGCACAGCTTTCTCTCTCCCTCTGCCTCTCTTCCTTTCAGCAAAGTGAGACTCCGTAATTTTTTAAATGGAGACACTTATTTAGCAATTAGATTTAGAACCGTTGGTTAATCATTGTGGCAGTTGTTAGGGTTAGGTTGTTGTAATTGTTCTTGCTGTTAAGAAAAGTACGTGGTTCATTTGGATACGCGATTGTTACTTATTATTATTATTATGAGACTTTCTTTATGATGAACTCGATATACGACTGGAGAGTAAATTTGGTATGCGATATGATCGATTAATCGGCGAACCTAGTCGGTCATTTGATTTGTTTGCTTGAATTTTGTATATGAATAGGAGACATTGTAAAATTCTATTAGTCTTATTTATGTGATGGATCATTGCTGGTGGCTGACAAACACTACTAGTTTTCCTGGTGTGAGTTATTTCTGTGATGAATAATCAATCAATTGGTTGTTTATGCAATTGGTTTTGGCAGAAAACAAGTCAAAGTATATCTCAAATGCATTCTACTCTTGGTCTACATTATCTAAACTTTCTTACACTTAATTTAATTCATCATGCAAAATTATACTCTTCGGTAACAGATGGTGTGTGTGTCCATGGTTAGCGCTTCCGGTTGCCTTGGAACACAGTGAAAGGGTTATACAATCAGGAGGGAAAGCCTTGTGCTGCAGGAAAGGCAATTTTTAGTTATACTGTCGGGTTATATTCGTTTTTCAATTAAATTTGCTAGCTGCTCGACGTTACTGATTGAGGATGGTAATGGCTTTTGTTTGTTTTGTTACTATTGGGGATTGGTGATGGGGTATGGGCATCTGGTCATTTGCTAAACAATTAAGGTCTCCTACTTGAAAATGCATATATGTTGGAACTTGGAACCATGGAGATTTGAGAAAACACATGGAAGTGGTGGAACATATGGAACTGGCCATCAATTGACTCAGAAAAAACTTCTTCTCAAGTTGGAGGGAGCTATATCTCTCTTTGGAATGGAATTGAGAATATTCAAAAGAGTCAAGCTTTGTTGTAGAAGATGGGGAAATTCTTTACCCTTGTAAGTTAAGAAAACCACAGAACATACTTGTATTTCTTGTTGATGTCAAACCTTGGAGTTGGTGTGGTGCTAAAGTAGAGTATATCTGTGAAAGACTCTTGTAAGCCTTTGCCGATTGAAATGAACATTCCGTGGCCATCCCCAGGATCAAATGCACGTGTCACCAGTCATGGACTATTTGGCCCCAAATGTGGTACATCTTGCTGATCCAATTTATATGTTTCTCTTTTGGTAAGATATCCTGCTGTAAGAATTTTAAGGATAATCATAATCACATATCTGCTTAGCTAAAGTTACTCTTAACCTTTTTTTGTAATCCTCATGTTTATTTGATTTGCTTTATTAGAGTTCCTACTTCAAGCAGTTTTAAGCACATATTATTGTCAATGAAAATATAAGTTACTCAATGGGGAACTAGTTGGGCAAAATAAACAAGAGCTTAAGTGAATGACTTATCTTCCTATCTTTTGTTGACATGAATACTCATTATGGACGTGTTTAAGAAGTTTTCAGCAGTCAAATTTTGTGCTCTTCTAATGCTACTGGTGCCCTCTTACACATCATTATTGAAAAAAATCTATCAAAGAATGCTTTAAACAACCACAAGAAGCAAACCTATTTGCGAGTAAGACATAAAAAATTGATCTTCTGTAAAAAGCAATTATGCACTGCATAGTTTTTTTCCTACTACTTTGTTAGAGATATAAAACCACTCTTGAGCATACCCAATACCTTAAGCTTTTGGAATTGCTGGTTATTGATAAACCTGTCTTACAAAGTTACAAGTATTGGATAATGACTGAGACTGCAAATATGAAAATTACTAAACCCAGGAGTTGAAAATATACAGTTAACTGAGGTTCGACAGATTGCTTCATGCTTTACTTCACTCATGCATATTAGGTGGTTGGGATTATATAGTGATCAACATGTTAACCTTTAAGAAGACTACATCTTTTTGTGTAGTTTTTTAGAATTAATGTCTTTGAAAAAGAGGCACTAGTGCTACTAGTATTGCATATGTGCATGCAGTACACTAAACAGGAGTTCAAATATATATAACTTAGGTGGTTGCAATATAAATTAGAATTCAATTATCAAATTGAAGAGAGAACAGAAGCCAAACAGATTAAAAATTAAGTTGCATATATTTCGACCAAATACATAAACAGAATAATTCACATTAACTGAACAGTACAATCTTAATGTTTTATTTTTTTTCGGTGCTCACTTTCCGGGGACAAAGTTGGTGGCAAATGCCCAGGCATTGTTGTTGACTGGGTCTGCAAGATGGTCGGCAAGGTTCTCCAATGGACCCTTACCAGTGACAATGGCCTGAACAAAGAAACCAAACACTGAGAACATGGCCAACCTTCCATTCTTTAGCTCCTTCACCTTGAGCTCGGCAAAAGCCTCTGGGTCATCAGCAAGACCCAATGGGTCAAAGCTGCCACCAGGGTAAAGTGGGTCAATTACCTCTCCAAGTGGCCCACCAGCAATTCTGTAACCCTCAACTGCTCCCATCAAGATAACTTGGGTAGCCCATATGGCAAGGATACTCTGAGCATGGATCAAGCTTGGGTTACCCAAGTAGTCAAGTCCGCCCTCACTGAAGATCTGGGATCCAGCCTTGAACCACACAGCCTCACCGAATTTAACACCGTTGCGAGACAAGAGCTCTGGGAAGACAATTCCCAGAGCTCCAAGCATAGCCCACCGTGAGTGGATCACCTCCAACTCACGGTTCTTGGCAAAAGTCTCTGGGTCAGCTGAAAGCCCAGCAGTGTCCCAACCATAGTCACCAGGAAACTCACCGGTCAAGTAGCTTGGGGCCTCGCCAGAGAATGGGCCCAAGTACTTGACACGGTCTGGGCCGTACCATGGGCTTCCAGAGGAAACTTTCTTGGTAACAGTTTTCCTCATGGAGATCCTTCCAACTCCGAGCTCTGGAGCTGATGGGGAGAGCTTCACCGCCTGGCCGGCCAAGGATGGGGAAGAGAGGGCCATGGTAGAGGCTGCCATTTTTGAATGATGGTGATGAGCTTGTGTTTATGTTAATGTGGGGAGTAGTGATTGGAAAAGATGAGAGATTCAATGAACATGGGCTGGTATTTATATTGGGATGTAGTGGTTAGTGTTCTTATCTCATGCATCTGAAGCTACAAATCTCATTGGGTGTTGAAGATTTTTTCATATCCCACTTGTCACCCAATCCACTAAATAGATTAGATTCTTCTAAGAGTTGTATCCAACTTGAGGATTCTAGTAGATATATGTACTGATTCTATTGGTTAATGTTATTTCACGTAGGGAAATGTCATAAATTATGAAGTTACTCTTCACTGTCTTCTTTTGCCATGGCTTGAGAACCACAAATTTGAAACTATCAACAGGTCAATTTCAGTGCTATGATAAATAGTGGTTTGGAACTACTAATAACCTCACCTCCTAAAATCTTATGTTTCTGCGTTACTTTAATGCATTACTTTAAAAAAAATTATAGAACCGAATGTTACTTATTAGTTAAAAACGAAGAAAAATTGAAGGGTGATTAAAAAGTTCAATAAAGGAATGAGACTCCTCTAACAGGGGAAAAGTTCTTTATTCTTTTTAGTTTTTAAAGGTAAAATTTTAATCTTAATATAATTAACAAGATATAAATGCTATTTTATTTAATATTTTTTTTTCCACATAATTTATCTCTTTATTAATGGAGAGAATTCTCACAAAACTAATATATTTCATTTCATTTGAGAGACCAGGAAAACATTAAATATGAGGTCAATCATTTTTTATATTTGAATATAATTTATAAAATTAAATATTTAATTCAACCAGTTAGGTGTTACTTACGTGAATGAAACTAAAGGCATACCTTTCTGTCATGAAATTTCATGACAAAATGTTCTGAGTAAAATTTTATATGATAATGTGATCTATAATTTTCATCAAGAACTTTTAAGTTATTAATATTATCGTGTTGACAGATATTTCGTGTTTGTTGACCCACATTTTTATTTTATTATATTAGGTATTCAATTTTTATATATTTTATTTTATACAATTAGAATGTTTTTGTATTAAAAGTATTTATGTTAGAAAATGTATTTATTATAATTCAATTTAAGATGAGATATGTGGTTAATATGCTAATATTAGTTACTTAGGATTCTATTGTTTTTTTTATAGAAATTAAAAAGTGTAATGGCAAAATAGGAAAATAGAATTTACATCATTATGATAATTATTTCATGTTTTGACTTTATATATAGTATAGATAATATGATGAAGGAGTTTATATTTTTAATGTACTTTTGTCCATCCTGAATATGATATTTTATATATATATTGTTATGTGTGGTTAAGTAGTGTCATCATATCATATACATGCTTAAGTTGTGAAGTTATGAGATATGTAAATATTTGAGTTTAACTATTACAGAATATCCCTCCATCCTGGTCAAAAAAGTGTATAATAAATCATATAAACTAAAATAGATGCGAATAAAGTATTATTTTTGAGTGTCCTATTTCAATTATTTAAAATAGCTCTAGTACTCCAAAGTTGCTTAAAATATGTTTGGTTGAACTTATATTTCGGTATAAAAAACAGCTTGTTTTCCTTAAAAATTCCCACACTTCAAAGATGTATTCAATATGTTTCTTCACGTACTTTCATTTGGAGGTACATATTTCTTAAAAATTATCTTTCACTCAATACTTTGAATAGATGCATTACAAGAAAGTTTGGGTTAGGTGGTCTGAATATGTGTTATAAATGAAATCATTAAAAGTGTCTGGTAGATTAAATGAGTATTAATCCAATTTATGGGAGACAAAGAACTTAGATATCAATTCATACATTAATTGATATGATATAATATTATGACATCGTTGAATTCATATAATTAATTCCATTTCACATATTGAAACTATTGAAACTTGATTACTGTTATACTTTCTTATATTCATTTACATAATTTACCTTAGTAATAATGAATTTTTTTAGGCAAATCATGCAAAAAATTATCATAAATCACTTTTAAATAAATAAGCATATTAAAACATAAATTGATCCATCTTATAATTTCAAATTATAATCTATTATATAATAATTATAATTTATTTTTAACAAGCATACTATAGATGAAAATGCATTAAACGTGACAAGGAGAAAATGTGAAGGATGAAAAATCATATCAGAAACAATAAAACAAACTTTTTAAAAAATGAATATTTATTAAAGAGCCACGTCATTTTGTGTGGTTCAAGTTCAGAAGCATTCTCGTCCATATGTACACTTTCACATGTTAGCCCATACCCTATCCAAAATCTAAAATGGATGGATGAAACATTTCTCACATCATCTTTATAGATATTTGATAATCCTAAAATCACAAACAATCATAATTTATATATATATTACATCGACTATCTTCTAAAAAAATATGAGTGTAATCTTTTAAATAAAAATAAATTTTAAATAAAATTAAGTTAAATCTAATTGATGTAGTTTATTCTTAATTAATTAATTACTAATTACTTATAATAAAAGTAGATCATTTATAAACTTTCATATATAATTTTATTATAAAATCATTCTTCTTTTGTATTTAAGTAATATTTCCTTGAAATTGTTATTTTGGAACGAAACAAAATTACTTTTTTTTATAATTTACAACATTTTTACTTCTCTTTATATAATGTGTCACTCCTCATCTAAGAAATGATAAAAAGATAAGTTTTGATACATATTGTTAAATATGTCAATGATCATTTATCACAATTTAATGGAGAAACTAAAATCAAACTTTAGTTAGAACAAACAACAAATTCTTTCTTCCTTTATTATTCCCTTAAATAATTTCAAAACATAATAATCTTATAAAATACTGAATAATAAGATAAGCTCAAATATTTTATTGTTTCTTAGTAATAACATGTAATATAAAAATAATATTAAAATACATTATTTTGACATTATTTACAATATTATCAGTTTTTTTTATAAAATATGAAATTTTTATATGATCTCAAAGTGTCTACTATAACAATATGATGATTTATGCAATATTTTTTCATTTAAATTATTTATTGGTTATAGTCTTATGTAGTTGTCAATAACTAAATGAAGTATTTGAAATAAAATAAGAGGAAACTGTATACAAAGTATATGAGTTTGATATATTGTCATTGTATCATCCACTATTCATAATTAATTATTATTGACTTTTAAAAAAAATAATACAAATGAATGGTAGATGATGTACTAATTGTATATAAAATTTTATAATGATAGTACATAAATATTAGAATCATAAAATAAAGTATATTCAGTTTGATTTTGAGTTTTTAGTTACTTATAAATTGTACTTATTTTATAAACAAATATATTGTTGATAATAATAGTCACAGGGATGGCAACAAGGTTGAATGGACATGGATAGTGCGTACTCGTGTCCATACCTACACTATTTGTGGGTATCCGTGGATGTCCATCAATTTTAATTATATTTTTATATATTTTCAATAATTAATATATAAAATAATTATTACTTAAATAATATAATATGTACATGATAATTTTATGATTATAGTCTCATCACTCAATTTTATTATAAAAAAATAATAAAATATAGAAATATAATGCTAAAATAATGATAATTAATTATAAAATATTTAATTAAAATATATACGCAGGTATCCGCGGGACGGATATCATAATATTCATTCACAGCCATGAGTTATTTTTGTCGGTATCCATTGCGAGTATTTTGATGACCCACGGGTCACATATTTTTGTCACCCCTAATCATAGAGAAGAAATAATACATAAAAGAAGATCGATTTTATAATCATATTTCATAGATAAATATACAAATAATTATACACACATAATATTATATGCATAAGTTACAATAATAAGAACTTTAGTGCATAATTTTATGAGCTCAACAATATACTCTAAGTGTCAAGAGAATGTCTTGATCTCTTTTTATCCCTAACCGCAATAACTATTCCTTAGCGCTATATCAGTCTTCAAGGGATTCCAAAATTGTTTTCTCATGTTTGTTATGGACATCTAAATTCCCTCTTAAATTCACAGTGGAATTAAATTGGGTATGACTCAAACATCAAGGTGTTAAAATGTATTTTTCCCATATAAATATTTCAATACAAGAGATAAATTTATGTCGAAACACATTTACAAACATATCATCCATTATCATAGAGAAGGAACATTTGACTTCATTAAGCAACAAAACAATACAATTAGAATGGAAGTACTAAGCATATTAATTAATATTCATTGATCTTAAATCTAATAGATATTCCCAAAAGTTTACACAATGGATAGCACACAAAATAGAGAACATTCATCTCCTCACATTTCTATTAATCTTGAAGTGTATATCCAAGTGGACATAGTCCACAACATCAACAGTGCAAGTACGATGAAATAAAACTTAAATACATGCAGCGTACCATTTCATTAGTTTTTTTTGCCAACACAAGTGCAACTATGTAAACATCTTGTGTCAAAACAAACATGTTGTTTCTTTTTCAAGTGCTCACTTTCCGGGAACAAAGTTTGTGGCATAAGCCCAAGCATTGTTGTTGACTGGGTCTGCAATATGGTCAGCAAGGTTCTCCAATGGGCCCTTACCAGTGACAATGGCCTGAACAAAGAAACCAAATATGGAGAACATGGCCAACCTTCCATTCTTTAGTTCCTTCACCTTGAGCTCAGCAAAAGCCTCTGGGTCATCAGCAAGGCCCAATGGGTCAAAGCTGCCACCAGGGTAAAGTGGGTCAATTACCTCTCCAAGTGGCCCACCACCAATTCTGTAACCCTCAACTGCTCCCATCAAGATAACTTGGGTAGCCCATATGGCAAGGATACTCTGAGCATGGATCAAGCTTGGGTTGCCCAAGTAGTCAAGTCCGCCCTCACTGAAGATCTGGGATCCAGCCTTGAACCACACAGCCTCACCGAATTTAACACCGTTGCGAGACAAGAGCTCTGGAAAGACAATTCCCAGAGCTCCAAGCATAGCCCACCGTGAGTGGATCACCTCCAACTCACGGTTCTTGGCAAAAGTCTCTGGGTCAGCTGAAAGCCCAGCAGTGTCCCAACCATAGTCACCAGGGAACTCACCGGTCAAGTAACTTGGGGCCTCGCCAGAGAATGGGCCCAAGTACTTGACACGGTCTGGGCCGTACCATGGGCTTCCAGAAGAAACTTTCTTGGTAACAGTTTTCCTCATGGAGATCCTTCCAACTCCGAGCTCTGGAGCTGATGGGGAGAGCTTCACCGCCTGGCCGGCCAAGGATGAGGAAGAGAGGGCCATGGTTGAGGCTGCCAT